TGGAAACTCTAGAGAGGGAGTGTGCAAAGGTGGGAAGGGTGGGGGTGAGTCCTGGGGAGTGAGTTCACAAGGCAGGAGGGTGTGAGTTCTAAGCAGAAGGGAGTGGGTGCTTTAGGAAGTGCATGTGCAAAAGGGGGATTGGGTGTGTCCCTGGCAGAGAGTGTGCAAAGTGAAGAGAGCGTGAACTCTAGGGAGGGCGTGTGCAAAAGGGTGGGAGTGTGTCTGTCCCAGGAAGTGAGGGTGCAAGGGGAAGAAAGTGGGAGCTCTAGGGAGGGGGTATGCAAACAGGGAGGCGTGTGAGTCCTGGGGAGTGAATATGCAAGGCAGGGGAGAGTGTGAGTCCTAAGCAGGGACTCTGTGAAGGGAGGGGTGTGTGAGCTTTCAAGGGGAGGAGAGTGTTGAGTCCTGGGGATTGTGTGTTGTGGGGAATGTGAGTCTTGAGGAGTGTGTGCACAGGAGGAGGGGGGTGAGAGTCCTAGGGAAGGAACATGTGTGAAAAAGTGTGAGCTGTAGGGATGGGGTACAAGGGGAGGGGAGTGGGAGTCCAGGGGAAGATGTGGGGTGGGGGGACAGGTTCTTGAGAAGTGGGAGGGTGTTGGGGGGTATGCCCTGCTATTTTCAGGGTCTAGGAAGGGGAAGGCAAATCATGCCCTGCTTCCTACCGAAGGAGGGTTGTAGGGCACTGCCCATCTGTCCCCTCCCAACCCCTGCCCCTCTCTCTGTGCCAAATCCAATCTGCTACAGATCCTGGTAACTCACTTACAATTGTATTGCATGTTGTAAAAGCCCCAGCTCAGGAAAGCATGTGATCTCATGAGAACCTCTGCTTCTGGTAGGGCTGAGGGTAAAGAGGAAGGAAGAGCTTGCTTGCTACCTGCTGGCTGCAGACCTGAGTGAAATCTGAAAGTGCACAACAATACTACGTAAAATGGAACAAAGGCTGGAGTGGGTTGGAAAGCTGAGCCCACTTAAATCTGGCCATATTAAAACAGCCACATGGACAGACCTAGGAATAAGTAAAGTAGAATAGAGGAAGGCAAACAGCAAGGCAGAGGTCAAGGGCTCCAAGGGGCAAACACAGCGTGATACTGGGGCAAAAAG